AGCTCTTGAACAGTCTCTAGTAAGGTTACATTGTGAGCAGGCTGGTGTCAGTGATGCAAGGTTGTGTAAGAGGAAGCCCTTTATTTCCAAGGTCTTGCGGCTTAGTCGTCCATCCTTTATCTAACTATGCCCATCGCCAAAGGGCCCTTTACCTCGATACCAAAACAGTAGGAGTGGGAAGAAACACAGTGGGTATCCGAATTTCAGTTCAGTTGGTTTGCACTTACATCATAATCACAATGTGTGTTTGTCTAACTGTCATTTTTCTTAGTACGAGAAAAGCACTCAGGTGTTTTAGTTTGGCAAAAATGATTGGCAGTGTTCATGGATGGGTTCTGTTGTTGGCGAAGAATCCTGGCTGGAAGATTGCAGAGAGCAGGGCTGACAGGATTCCAAATACGTTCAAAAACTTCACTCAGTAGTGTGGTCTTCTAGATGTTGCCAAGCTGTTGCACACTTTCTGAGGAGATGCTGGCTTGGAGTTTGCATGTTCTCTCCGTGTATTGCATGTGTTTTTCTTGTGTACTCGAATTCTTCTGGAATCGAGAAAAACATGTGAGTGATGAATTCTCCTGCAGTGGCTCTTGGCTGAGGCCTGAGTTAAAAGTGGAGCTGGTTCCAGTGTGCTGCTCAGTACGCTCTTAGTACTTACGATGGGTTAAAGGCAGAAAATGTGTTTCCCACATGGGACCAGTGAGGGATATCTTCAACGTCGTGCCCAAGGGACAAATCTATGTAACATACAAGGAGGACATTTCCCTTTGTGCCCTCAAGGCTAGCATATATGCAGGATAGACTGTGATCATGATTGCTGTAAGGGTTGTAAAGCTTTCCCTGCGCTTCTGCAAAACAGACCAAAGACAGGTTTTATAGTTCTTCTACAGGGATGACCCGGCTATCCTTGGAGGTTCCCTGCTCAGAAAAGTGAAAACACGGACTGCTGTCAGTTGCCCTCCTTTTGAAGCGATGAATATTGTTTTTTTCTTTCACCTTGAAAAGTAAACTGCAGCTCGTCAATGGCCTTCCTTCTTCCCTCCTGCAAACAGAATCTATAGAGAAGAGCTGAGCTGTGCTTGACCACACATTCCTCAGGTCTTAAGAATCATGAGGATGTAGGATTAGACCATCTGAGCCCTTCTTGCTTTGTAAGACTTATTATTTTAGAGCAAAAGCAAGTTGTGCTTGAATTCCGACTCGGGCCTTTGAGTGATATTCATCCGCACAGATAGTTGGAAGCAGTCTGCAACATCTTACAGTTCCCAGTGGGGAGAAAACCTCCCAGTAAACCCCCAGTGATCCTGCATTTAAGCAGGGATACCTTGGGGATACCTTGGCTCAGGTGTGTCACATTCCACTCTAAATTAAATTCTGGCTCCAATAAAGGGTGCAAATAAAAGAGCATATATGAGGCTTTGTTTCTGCCGCTGATGGCTGTTTTTTTTTTGTAATGACAAACACTCTTAAAGTATATTATGTGAATAAAAAGGAAATCATCACTGAAAATATCAGTAGTTTAAGATCAGATCCTACCGCTGAAGATCTTTAACAACATGAGGATCGTAGCCTATATCCACCCTCTGAGATATCTTCTCCTCCCACTAAGCCTGTCCCTTTTGTATTTACACAGCCTCACCTGCTTAATGTATAGCAGTGGCAAGGACCTCTTCTGTGTTGAAGGTACTTAGCCTTCCCTAGCAATAAACCTTAATGGTTCCCAGGGTGGTTTGCGGTAAATCCCTGATGAGAGATACCTTGTTGGCTTTTCCCATCCCTTTTTCCTCTAGAGGGCAGGACTGAGAGGCACATATGCTGCAATCATTTGACTTTCTAACAGATTTACTTCAAGATTTAGGCTGTCAGTGTGAATTACAACAGGCTGAAGCATCGGTTTGATTCCTGGTAGGGTGCAGATCACTAAGACCTGTTGCTGGTGTCACATAATGTTGTTTGGTGCATTTAAGGTTATGCCTATAGTCAAGGGAAAGACTGTGAAGCTGTTGTTTTTCTGAGCAGACCTGCCTATTTTTAGTGGTACACATACATGCTGGACTTTACACAAACAACGATGATCCTCCAAGTGAAGCGACAGTTTCTCTGGGCTGAGGCTGATCTCACATCCATTCCCTCAAAATAGTGTTTTATCAGTTTTACTAATCCACACGCAACTTGTACGAAAGAGGATCAGGGCCACAAGAAAAGAAAAAATAACTACAGGAGGGAGATTTTTTAAATTTCCATTTTGAGATTAAAATTGAAATTTAAAAAAGTCTAAATGAAATGCTGTATGGCTTAAATTTGTCATAGCCATCCATGTGCCAGAGCGTATTGGGTCCTTGGCTTAGATGCTGGGCTCGTCTGTGCTCCACGCCTTCAGGATCAATCAACTTGATCAGTTGTCTTATTGTATCTTGCGATACAACATAGCCTCGCTGTATAGCACACAGGTGTAACTATCAATAACCCTGCATCTGCATCATAATCTTCGACACAGTCTTTTCAGAGTCCAAATACTTATGACCACACTGTGTTTGTGTGCTAAAAGATTCTAAAGTACAGCTTTACAAACTCTTCTACAGAGGACATGTTGTCAAGTGACGAGCGACAGTGCTGTTGATTCATTATCATTAATCTCAACATTACGATTTTATTCATGAAATTTTGTCTTCATTTGCATCAACTTTAATCTCAAAATTTCAAGTTTTTAATCTTGAAATTTAAACTTTAATCTCAAAATTTCAACTTTAATCTGTAATTATTTTTTCTGTTCATGTGGCCCTAATCCTCTTTCGTACCACTTGTCATAGTTTCAGAATTGTCACCCAAAAGTTTCTCAAAGGCATTAAGAAGCCAACATGAAAGTATTAATTATGCAAATATTCACATAAATCTCAGCCTCCATTACATCCCAACCAAGAGTTGTCAAACCTCCGCCCACAATTTGCACAGATAAAGGAATACAAAACAGAATTGCTGTGATTATGTTTAAATCGGATTAAATCGAGACATGTCAACATGGGATCTTGTGGGGATTTCACATCTTGAGCCATGTGGACACTAAAGGATCTGCAGTTTGTTACGCTTCTCAAAAGGCCCTCATTTTTAACATCAGAGGATGCCATTGGACATTAAAACTCTCTGGTTACTGTTCTTTAAGCAGAGCCGTCTTAACTTCATAATTCTGCTGAGTCACTGGTATCTCAGTCAGGTGTGCAGAGCTGAGTCATTTTTAATTTCAAGGTCATCTAAATTTATATTGCTAAAAATTGATAAACATTGTTTCAGGGGAACCTGGGATTTTTACACAGCACAAATTCCCTCAATACTTCAAGTTTGAATAGTTTGGATAAATCCTGTTTTTTGGGGAAAATAGAAAAAAAAAAGCAGCAGATTGGAGATTCAGTTTTTACGCTGACACACATATTTTGGGTATACTGGACAAGCTAATAAAAAAATAAAAAGAAAGGAACAGAAAGTAATGTTAGTTGAAGTGTAAAACAATGAGAAAAGGTTTTAAAGACGGCGTAAAAAACGAGAAATTCACTGAAGGATGAAAAAGATGAGACGCATATACAAAGTGCACTTTTTTCGACATGTATTTTAGCTTTCTTTAAAACCAGCTGGAGCCACGTCCTCCTGTCCCTCCCTCTCCCTCTCTCCCCTCCGTGCTGCCAGTAGCAGGCTGATTAAACGAGCATTGGTCTATGTGGGTCATATCTCTGCTGGAGTGCTCTGATCGGTTAGTGCTGCCTAGCTGTGTTATCTTCCCACTCTCTCTGTTTCCTTCCTTCGAGGGGGAGGCATTCGGTATGTCTTACAAGGTGACACGTCTCGCAGTCTCAGTTCACAAACCAAATGCAGAAGATTGCAAGGGTGAACAGGAGTATAAATTAAAGGGGATCAGACTGTGTGTTGTATATGATTAATTAATGACGGTGGCAAGCAGAAGGAATCTAAATATGTAGACTGTAATGCAGAGAATAGAAAAAGCTAAACAGAGCAAAAGCTGCAGGAAAAGCCTCTCACAGCCTACAGCAGTAAACTCTTGAAACTGACTGTTCATGATACGTTACTGAGCAGTAAAATGCTGCTAAGATAGGATGTGTAAATTAGAAGACATACTAAGTTTTGATAAATGTTCAATCTGTATCTCAGGACTATTCAGACAAAGTAAGTTAGATTCAGGTGTCTTTTAATTCACTGCTTTTTATCATGACTCCACAAATTCAGGGGCATGTCCAAACTGTTGGTTTGAAGAGGCCAAACTTGGAGATGCATTTTCTATTTGTAGAGAATGGTGATATATGCAGAGGTGTGCGTGCATTTGAGCGATGGAAGAAGGCCAAAAGAAGAGATATTTATGCACAAAGATATTTCCACGCCAAACATCTCAACTAAACCAACACTAAACAACTGTTGATGACTTTTTCCAGATCTGTGTCATATTAGTGAGTGGATAAAACATCAGTAAGGAGACAAATATTCAGTGCACAGACACACCAGAGAGAAATTCAGCCCACCAAACACTTAATGTTTATGATTTCATTTTCTCTGGTCATTTAGGTAACAGAAAAGACCGTCAAATATCAAGACATAGACTAAGAGCTTTGTCTTTACAAATAGTAAAACTTACTGAGCTAAAGAAAAGCACACAAGACCACCATGAATGAGACCTGGGCAGGGGTCAAAGTAGGATAAGGTTCTGCAGGTACTGTACCTGTAGGGTTTGTACAAGAGGAGCACACCGTAGTTTAACAAGTTTAACTCTGACGCCACAGTTTCTTCATCTGCTGTATCTCTCTTTCTCTTGAACATTAATTTTCTCTGCATTTTGTTTTATTTCTGCCTTAAGATTAAAGTAGCTGTCTCTTTAAGAGTTCCCTCCACAAAAGGCGGGAAGCGGTCCCCAGCGCCTAGGCAACCAGCGTCCAATCAAAAGTGCTCGTTCCCACTTCCGGAGTTTGTTTGTTTGAAGGAAATGCGACTCACTCGCAAGCAGCACCGTCGTATCGGATTACTACGGTTACAGTGCAGAGTGCAGACTGACGTGCGGCAACACGGTAAGCAGATGTAGTCTACAGACATTACAGGGGTAAAAAATTTGCGTACCGGCTGTAAACTTCTCTTCGTGTCTTCCCGGTAGCGATTTTCTCTTATATCGCCTTCCCAGCACGGCGTACCGCTGAGTACAGGCTTACTTTCACCCCTGGACCTGGGTCATGTGAAGTGAAGTCAGTAAACAACAACACATGGTGGTGTTGAGTTTTGAATATTAATTCTTATTAAACCTAAATGAACTGAGGGTTGGTACAGTTCAGTTTAACAGCTCACAGACCTGCAGGAGCATCATGGTGGATTTCAACCCTCCAGATTTTCATTAAAGACATGTTTGATGAATGACTTTATTTTGATATCCAGTAAAAGACTAAAGTATAGGTGGATTACAAATGACTCTTACTGTGTTTCAGTAGTTACACAAAAAAAGAGATTAAATTCTACATAACTTCAGTCCACAGTCTAATCTGATGACCGCGCAAAAATCAGATATTATAAAGCTGGAAACGGTTTTAATTTAGTTTTTAAAGATTAACAATTTACCCTGATAGGTAGCGCCAAAATATTTAACAGGTCTATATCTACTTTATAACCGACGTTCTTACCAATTACCAGGTTGTGTAAAGTATTTGATTCTGATAGGTCAAATCCCCAAAACAACAGTGATTGAATCTCTACTGCTTCAGAAACAACCAAATCACACATGCTCTATCATAGCCATGTGAAGGACATGTGTGGCACATTTCCCCTCTACCTGTTGGCACTGAGGCGGAAATGTTTGGTTTTGTAAGAATATTTAAATCGGTAAACATTGTGGCAAAATGACGAGAGGGACTGGGAATACTTCTAGTGTCCACGCACCTGAACATTTCTGATATGGAAAAAGAGGAGCAAGATCCTGTCTCTGCAATTACAGGCAGCTGCAGCACAGCTGGTGAGTGCATCTCTGATAGGTAGATGGCTGCATAAAGTAACCGAAACCGTACCTGGTAGAGATAGTATTGAAAATCTAGAAAGTTTTGACATTTGTATCATTTATGTTTAAAGATATGTCAACTACGGAGGAATCCTTTTGGTCCGTCTTTAAGAAAAAAACACTCGCAATGGTGCTACGATGAAAATTTGTATGACAGAGCTACTCATCCAAGGAGAAGAAAAATGGTTGTATTCATTTCTTTTTTTAATAAGTATATATGATTCCACCTTAAGTTAGAAAAACTGAATTTTAAAGTCCCCTTTCTGGCTTTTTTTTTTATTTATCTCTGAACCACAAGTCATACTCTCTACCAGCAGATGCAGTTTGCCTCTTTCATACAGATGTTTACATTTTATCCACCGACTTAGTTTCAAAGCTGATTAGTATGCGCTTTTTTCCCAGCGAGTCAGTCCCTGAATACTTAGTGATGGATGCAACCTGGTCATGCAAGTGAAAATCAGCGTTAAGGCTGAATGTGAGTGAATGGCACAGCAACAAGCAGCCCACATTGTGAAAGTGATATTACAATGTGGTCTCTGTTAATTAAGGCAACGATGACATTTGAAGCTGAGCGTGAATTTGATTAAATGCAGAAAATCAGCCCATCCATATACAGTATGACATTTCAAGATTTCCATCCCATTTCCCTCTCCTGCTCTGTTGAGCATTAGAAAGCACAAGAGGCATATTTCACAGCTCCTCTCCTCTGGTGTCTAGTTTAGTTTATGATGAAGGAGAGTGGAAAGGAATGAACACATGACCTCACATCCGAGTATTTCCAGGCTGTCGTAGGAATTTATAAAATTAAATTACACATTTTTAATTGTATTGTTCTGAAATTCTCTCTCTCTCCACATACGGTCATTCCTCAGCTGATCGGGGCTTTGCTATGAGGGAAACCTAATTAGTCTTCCTCCAAGCTACATCATAATAGCCAGTGAATGGCTAGCCTTGTCCTGACCTGTAAAAACATATCAAAATGCACACAGAGTCCCTCTATCAACCTATTTGCGTGTGAATACGTTGTTAAGCCTGTGTTGCCGCACAGACACTTCTTCTCATCATCTCCTTTCCCCAGTTTTCTATGGGTGTGCTTATTAGAAGAAAAACACGGTATAATAACACAAAAGCTGCCCTGAATAATTCGCTCTAATTGGCAAAAAGGGGTGGGAACGGCCTCAGCAGATAGACTGGCAAGAGTGTGGCCACCCATCCATCCACTTTTTATTTTATTTTGTATGTTTGAGGTCAAATGCACCCGCATGCATGTTTAATTGGCTTTGAGATGGCTTGGTGTTTCTGCTCTGAGTCAGAGCCACTTGCTTTTTCTAGAGCGTGCCTTTTCACTATGTCTCAGCAATAGAGTACTATTTTAGGAACAAATTAGGGGCCCAGAAAACAGTGACATTTAGACAATCGCTGCTGTGGCTGTGGCTGATAGGGGAAGAGGACCAGGCGCTACTATATAGAGGGTTACTGTAGTGTGCTTTTATGGAGAGACTGAATAGTGGGATGGACTCATTGTTGAGGAGGCCCAGTGGTTTAGGCGAATAGTTCCAGCGGTTTCTTATATAAATTCATATAAAAAAAGTATGATACAGAAAAAGGCAAGAAAATCAAAGCAATAACTCTCCTTTTTTTAATTTATGTTTGACTTTCACCAGCTTAAAAAAGTGACTGGATCGTCCCAAATGTGCAAATAACTTCCCAATGAGCATTACTCCAAGAAGTCTTTGACCAATAGCTGCTCTTACATGGGCACAAATAATCAGAATAAATGCCCGATCGGAATAAAAATGCGTCATGTAAACATGTCAATCAGAAGATTCTGATCCAATTCAGCTCAATCGGAAAGAAACTGTATTCTGATCGAGGGGGGTGGTTTATGCCGATCATTATTTCAAAACGCGTCCATCTAAACACTTATTCCGATCGTGACTCTCGTACCTGACTTTATTGAGGCAGTACAGGAGGTTTCATTATTAACGCTCTGGCATAAAACACAACCGCAGCTGCTGTGACCACTCCTCTGATAACATAACAGGGCGTACGTACAGCGTAATGATGTCACATTTGCATGCACAGAGCAACCTTTGACAGAACAGTAAAATAAGTACGCAAGGGCGCCATCTAGTGACAACATTTAACAGGGGGAAAACTCTTGAATTGGAGGGAGTGAGCCACTCCTGCGTTTATTGTTTTTTTTGATACAACTCTTCTTCTGCAGTTGTGTTAGCGGAATCAGACAAATGTCCAAATGCTTCTAATTTCATATAAACAGTGGATTCAGATTATCCGATCCCTCAAATTTTTAATCGGATCACGAAATTTTGCACATGTAAACATGGCTACTGTTTTAGGGATGTTGAAAAATGGGCGAGGAATGAAAGGTTTTCTGAAGGCGTCAACTGTCAATGTTGAGAGACTGGTATCCCGTACGATGGTGCTTTTCTTGCGCAATTTTCATCAGTTTTTTGCACACATCGATAGTGATTTTCCACGTCACTTCTTGTATACATTTTCACTAAAATATTGCATCACAGTGCATCAAACTAAATTCTTAAGAAAAAGCAGCAGGGTGAAAAATTGCAACTCCCCACACAATAGCTAGATGCCTGTCAGCCTAGCTTAAGAGCTCCTGCTGTTTGTGGTTTCAATCAACTCTGTCAGCGAGTCTGTGTAGTCAGAGCAGCACAGTCAACTGCTCCCTTTAAAATTCCTCTTGACCTTTTGTTATCATCACAGCCTGTGAAGCTTTAAAAAAATACAACATGTGGAAATCACATCTTTTGCTTAGACAGGAATCAAATTTCTTCTGGAAAACTACTTTGAAGAAAAACCATCACAATTATCTTTTCACTTTTAAATGGCCGTAAATCAAAATTTGAGGTGTTTTCAGACATGTCAATGTTGCAAAGCCTTTTGAATACCGGTTGAAATTAGGTGTTGGACTTTCAGACCTGATTTCAACATTTTTTCAGCTTAATTTAATCTACTAGAGAGACAGAACATCAACAGGATGTTTCTTTTTTATTACATTATTTACTGAGTATCGTAGAATAATGATTCTGAATTTGACATCAAACTTCTTCTGGAAAATTACTTTGAAGAAAAATCATCACAATTATCTTTTCCAATCACTTTTAAATGTCCCTAAATCCAAATCTGAATAATGATTCTGAATTTGACATCAAACTTCGTGTCACCGTTGATTTTGGGGGACCTTATTTGACCATATTTCCCCGGCGTGATGCACTCCTAAGAGGCCAACGAAAAAAGTCTCAATACCAAGTATAATAAATGTTGAAAAAGTTCCAAATGCTTTGTATCAGTACAATAAAACACTTCACTTGACACCCTAAAAAAATATCATGGTCACAGAAGGGTTGCAGAGATTTTTCAGTCCAATTGAAATGCTAAAGTTGATGAATGTATTAAAATGTCAGCGGCTGTCATCGACCATTACTCTGCAATGATTGAAAAACTGTTTCTATAGTCTGCTGAGGCACTGTATGAAATATTATAATTTTAATTCAGAAGGTCAGTGTCAAGTTCTTCAGAAATACTTTCATAGAATTTAATATTTGATTTCTTTACACCCATGCTGACTTTAAAATGTGGTCACCTTAACATTTTGTGTGATCACTCTTTGTTTTCAGTATTCTGGCAACAAAATATAAGCAATGAAATGAGTAGTTATTGATCTATTAGTCTTACTTTTAGGCTAACCAGTGTAAACTCAAGTTAGGATCAAAGGAAGCCAATGAACTTTTCCCTTCACAGTTTCATCATCACTCCGAGATGTGAAATGGATTTAGTGTTTCAGCTTGCTCTGGCTTATTCACCTTCCTCTTGATCTCCAAAACCAGTCAGAAATGAAATTAAAAATAATATCTGTAATTTTTATGAGCTCCAAATCTGTGATGAGGATTGTATTTGACAACATAAATGTTAGGTTTTGTTGAAAGATAATTCAATAGAGCTGTAGTGGACAGAGAAGTAGCCCTAGTTTTTAAAAATGAAAGCATAATTGGACATGCTGTTCCCAGACTAATAATTATGTAAGGCTATTTGTCTTGTTTGCCTTGGAAGTGATGGGGAGGGGGAACATGTTTCATTCTGTTTCATAGTGTGGAGAGTGAGGAGAAGCATGTACAAGCACGACACCTTATGCGCAGGAATTTTTCTCACCTCACTTTTCACAATTTTTAAAGTGTAAATCTTCAGACCTTGAGATTATTCTTTCTGTTTAACGTGTCTGCTCTCTCTAACGTGTGCGTTTACACACTTAACTATTGTTTTTCTATTTGTTTGCTGCTATTGTTGTTGAAGCCATTCATCAACATATAAAAATAAGGTTCTTTGGAGATACTTCGATCTCACATTGTATTTTTCTTACCTAATCAGTTCTTTCCGTCTGTGTCTGTAAGCACTTTGTACGTCTCACAAAAGGTAACAGTTTTTTTTCTCTCTTCATAATGTATCTGCGTCCTCTTTTCAAATCACTTATGCAAGAAGAATGCGCTCATATAACAGAGACAGGAAAAGAAGCAGACGTGTGTGTTGTCTGTATCTTGTCGCCTGTTAAACTCCGCATGCACAGACGAGAACACTGTTAACAAACCCAGTGACCCCTCCCCTCATAAGACTACGTTTACACGTGCCCAGCTATTTTCATAAACGCACATTTAGCCCTCTCCGTTAAAAAAACGTGTGCACACGACTACATTTTCAGAAAAGTTTTTGTTTACACTAACCCGTGTATATATGCCGTCAAAAGCATATCAAACATGCGGGTAGCAGTGTAGCAAGAAGCTCAATTTCACGTTGGCCAATCAGAATCCCGCATAGCAGGAACAACAACAACAACGTCGCTTCCTTCTTTCCTGCACACAATCTGCCGTTGGCTTCCTAAATCTCTGTTTTTCTCCGTTTACATGCAAACATGCAAACAGAGTTTTCCAAAATCTCCACTCTGGCTGGAGTTTTTAAAAAGCATCGTTTTCAGGAATTCTCCGTTTGCGTCTAAACAAAGAGTGCAAACGATGGTTAATGTCTCCGATTTTAAAAATAACCGGGTCTGTAGAAACGGGGCCTAGAGCAGGTGGGGTCTTTGATTTCCAAAAGAAGGTCAAATTTTGATTTTTCAGACCACTAGACAGCTCATCACTTTGCCTCATTTCACCCTAGATGGAGATGGTTTCACAGGGTTTCCGCTTCACATGGTACAACTATAACCATCATTTGAGGATGCAGAAATGAACTGCAATCAGACAGCAGTTTCTAGAAGTGATTTTGAGCCCATGCAGTGATTTCCACGACAGAGTCTTGTCTGTTTGTAATGCAGTGTTGCTTAGGGGTCCAAGGATCACAGTCATATAGTCTTAGTTTTCAGTCTTGTCCCTTACTCCAGATCCTCTGAATCCCTTTTTTTTTTTTTTTGATATCATGAGCTGCAGATGATGAAGTCCCTAAATTCTTAGCAAGCGTTCACTGAGGATCATTATCCTGAAACTGTTGCGTTTCTTCCACAGTCCCTCACAGTGTGGTGAACTTCTTCTCATCTTGACTTCTGAGAGACTCAACCATTCCTGCCCTTTTTTAAACCCAGTTATGAAAGACTGGCCCCATACTAGACAGCGTTCAGAGCTGGACTGATTTTAAAACCATGGGACACATAAGGACGGTTCCAACTCATTTTAACATCGCAATCCTCTGACCACAAACACACACACAATTCCTCAAGACCGCAAGACCACATACTTAACGTTTGTGGTAACAACTGCGAAGTTGCGATTTCACAGACTCAAGGTCTCACAGAAAAGTTTGATCAAATATGATTACGGGAGACACACCAATGTGGAAAACATCTGATGTGTTCTGTTTTGCAGCTAAAACAATAATTGCAATGTCAAAAGTGAATAAGACAAAGACAGAAGATACTCTATCTTTTGGCCTTCATGGGAAAAAAACAGGAAGAAAAAGAAAAATAAATCATGGTGGTGATGTGTTTTGGAAAAATTTCAGAAAAGTCTGTTGCAAAAGAATTAAAAAAATGAAAGTTTGAAGATTTAGACACAATGACAGATAAGAATATGTTGAAAGGAGCTATCCAGCAACAAAGTGAGACGAAAAATAAGAATAAGCACCCTCTCTTCTTAATCTCCACACAGCACTACAGTCCAAACTGATGTCTCCCAGGGGCCTTGTCTTCCTCCTTCCTCTGATTGGTAATGAGGCACAGCTGCTTTTTAGTGGGACCAGCAGGCATGGCCCTGATTGCTGCTGCTGCTTACTTCAGCAGGCAAAATGTAGCAGAGCTGACAGCAATGGAAGTACAAGGGGATAGTAATAGTTCTTGTAATTTGGAGATCCCAATCTGGTTTTGTATTGATACCAAGCTGCTGTCTCATTTTGACTACAATTTAAAGAGAGTGCCGCTTTTCTCGTGTTTTTAATGGATGGGAATGTTCTGTTGTTGGTAAAAGTTGAACAGATTACAGGAGGAATTTGCTAATTTGCTAAAGTTAAAGTTGAGTAAAAGTTGTAAATGTATATATTTTTTCAAACTTGAAGGCATGATTGACGATCTGACAATCAGTTGAATAAAACTGAGCCATTGAGGCAGATTTGAAAAAAGCGTCCCACCCCCCCACACACAAACTTCTTCCCTCTGCGCTTCACGATAACCCCACCCCCCAAACATGTGCCACGATAAAGGGCAAAAATTACCTGTTCAACAAAAACTCAGCTGCCTCAGCGTCTGTTTTCAGGCCCAAATCCTGGCAGAGTTTTCTCCACCACTCTGCCCTTTCTTCTGTTGGCTCACGGTGTCTTAGCACTTTTGGCGGTGGGGAAAACAGAAGTGTTTTTTTGTGTCCTTCTCCATCACAGCTCCTGTAGCTAAGCTGCTACTCTACTTTTAGCCGCTCAGAGCTCCAAGGAGAGCCGGGAGAGTGGGAGGAGACGAGTCGGAACTACGGGAGAGGGGTGTGTCGAATACAGCGTGGTGATTGGATGGAGAGGTGGAGCAGGAGATAGACCTATAGTTGCTGTCCAGGATGGATGGCTCCCATTGGTCAATGTTTTTGCAACCCTGGGTGAACGGATTCTTTCCATTCTTTTTTCTCTTCACTTTGTGGAGATCACACTATTAGACCATGATCGCCATGTATAAACGAGGTTCATAATAATTACTAATCTCTCCAATCATCAACCATGCCTTTAATATATTTGACATCGGGGTTGATTTACTATCGAAGCTGCCAGTCTTTCTTCATTCCCTCAGTGATATTTATTACTTCTTTATCTTTGTCAGTGCAGGTCAACATGACCAAGATCCCAATAGATTAACGGAAAACAAAAATAAATAAATTATCACTGCTAATGTCGGTAGTCTGAATCACAGAGAGGATGAAAGTGATTGTTGTTTGTTTACTGATCTGGTTAGCCCCTCCCTATTGCATCTGTCAGCCATACTGTCTGGGGGTGTCAGTTTACCTCTGTATATTTGGATTCTCAGTCTGTTGTTGTTTGGATATGAATCATGATTTTTTTTTTCTCCAATTCTCTTCAGGAGATGTTGGGTTGCTATGGCTACAGTACATGGTGGCAGAGAGAGTGGCACCTTGCGAGATTAATTTGACCAGTGAGACTTCTTTTCTTTTGTCCGTCACTTGCTAAAGCTGTGAGTTGGTCCATACCTCTTTCACCCCTCTGCACCTTGTAAATAAATCTTGTGTCAAGTAAAGAAGACTTTGAAAGAGTGAAAGGTTCAAGTGCAAGTTTGAGTAGTTCAGAAACATTAGGCCTAGAGGTTTTTCTCTTTACTTATTTTGTACTTGGTCTTCAATTTAAGGTTGGTTTTAAGGTGTCTTTGCAAAGGTACAACATTTTGCCGTGAGTTTTTATGTAAGAATATCTTACATTTCTCTAAGGGATGTAACAACACAGCTTTAAAAATTAATCTCCTGTTAGGTTTCAGAAAATTTGTAAAAGGAGAGCATGCAACAATACTGAGCGCCTGCAAAGAACTCGTCAAAACAGAGTTGAAGAGTTTGGCTTTCGGCTCTCTGCTTACGAAGTACACGATGAAGTACAAGATGAGGTGCAAACTTTACCATCGTAATGACTCCAATGTTTGGGCTTGTATCTCAGCCCTGCATGTACCTGCATTATTTGGATGGATCATAGATATTTACACAGAGTCAGAGGATGAGCTGGTTGGGTACAATAACCGATGGGTATTTTGTGTGTGAGGAGGTGCTGTGTAAATGTTAGAGTTTACAGATGAAATTGCAGAAGCATCATCAAACATTCAATTTGATTAAAATTTCCTCTAGCATGATTACCCGCTATAATGGATGTGCCTGATTGAAAGACTGGTAATTAATTTCCACAGCCCAAAAACTTCATAGAACACATGCATGCACGCAGAGGCACGAACACATACACTGCTACACCCAGGAGAAAAGGGCGCCTGATCATCAAACCCTGACATGGGTGTGGTGTTTGAAGATGAAGTATCGTGGATTTGTATTGGTCCTTCCTGAACTGCCTCTGCAGAAACTAGTCCCACCCCCCCCTCACCCCCAAGCGACCAGGACAACACATTTGTCAGCTAACTGAAACAGCTCATCTAAATTTAAAATGTAATTTAAGAACCATTCAGATGTATAAGCTGCAATGCACCTCACAATATTAACAATTTACCAACACGCTCTCAGCATGAATGCTGCTCACCTGGGAAGATGTATGCGCATGTATATGTGTGTTTGTGTGTGCATGCGTGCGCGCCTTTGTGTGTGTTGAACTCGATGTTCTTTATCTCTGTGTGTGTTCTGATGAGCTGCAGCCATTTTTCCTTTTGTCCAACATCCTCCTGATAACTGGTTGAACTCGCACCCTGATGCAGCGATTTGTCGGTGGATATTCAACCTTCATAGACAGGGATAAGGATTAAAAAGCCGGCTGTTTGCTGTAGCATCCAAGGACTCTTCATTATGTATCTGTGACCTCTTTTCAAATCACTGATGCAAGAAGTATGCTCTCATATGACAGAGAGAGAGAGAGAGAGGGGAAAAAAAATACATGTGTGTTGTGTGTAGAAATTAAGATCCTTGTACTGTTTTGTTCAAACAAAGGTTTCCACGGCAACCACATGCCCCATTAGGCCCCTTATCAAAACTCAGGGATGAAGCTCCTCAATTACCCCTTACTTTCATGCACCCAGACACGCATTTGCATACACACACATGCACACACAGGCACACACATACTCCTGCACTTACACTCCTAACCCTCAGATCTGCAAGGGTAACTCAACCTTTGATTGAGGATCGCTTTGTACAAATAGTACCTCTGTATGTCCAGGGATGGCATGAAGGGGTTTTGATCTCTTGGCAGTTTGACTGAAGAGGAGCCTCTCAAGGACAAGCACCAATGGTTGATTTATTGGAAAACAATGTTTTGAGAAAATAAAAAGAGGCTCTTATTTAAAAGGACAAACACCTGACATTTTGATACAAGCATCAGCCGAACCACACTGATAGGATTTGACTCCTCTCTTGGTATTTTTTAACAATAAGGACCACAGCTTTGGTTAAACTTTACTGGTCTTGATAAAGAAAAAAAAAAGTAGTAGCTTTCTTGGTAGAAACTTTCCCACTCACAAACACTAAA